CCAGTGGCTCCTCTCTGGCAGATCTGCTTCCTCATCCGCAGCAGATCCTCTCCGGCAGCTCCTCCCCCTCCTCCTCTCCAGCAGCTCCTCATTCTCCTCCTCTCCAGCAGCTCCTCTTCCTCTCCAGTACAGCAGAAACGAGCAACAGCAAGGAGCCAACTGCCAACAGCGCAAGGCATACCTCCCTCCCCCTTCACCCTCCTGCTGGTTGCTCACTGCTTTGTGCTAGCTGCTTTGCTGGTTGCTCACTGTCTCTCTTATAGTGGTTAGTGGATGCCTGGATGTTTAGAATAATGCATGATAGGCTGCTTGGTTGATTAGAATAATACATGCTGTTGTTAGTGATTAGTTTAATGCAGTAACTTTTGCTACTTAACTTTGCTACTATGCTTGATCTGTTGATTATAATAAGGAATGATGAGCTCTTGAATTGATTAGAATAATCTTGTGCTGCTCACTGTTGTCTACTTGACTAATGCATCGATGCTTGCTGAATGCTGATTACTTGATTAGTTTAATGCCTAGTTGCCTACTGGCTACTTGATTGTTTGCTGCATGAGTAGACAGTAGAGTACTAGATTACTTTATTGTTTGCTGCCATGGCAGCCCTTTTGTCTATCTAGTAAGTACTTTATTGTTTGCTGCCATGGCAGCCCTTTTAACCGTTATTTACTTATTTCATTTATTGTTTGTACTTTGTAGATCCATACAAAGAAAAGGAACAGGTTACAATGGAAAAGGTTGAATGATCTTGTCTTACTTTCATACAACCGGAAGAATATGCATCGGTTTCAAAAGAGGCATGAGAAGGTGGGCGACAATAGCTTTGACCCTTTGGTCATTGAGGAGGATTTTGATTGGGGCAATGAGTGGGGGGACCCATCACTATCACAACCTCAAGGTGCTCGAGGTTGTCCTGAAGACAATCAAGACATTGCATGGGAGGATGTTGATATGGCTATTGGTGCATCTTCGAACCTTCAAGGCCGCAATCTACCTAGGACAGCAACTACACTTCGTAGGGGGCAGTCAAATGTCTATGTGCAACACTACGCACGCAAGAGACCTACTACAACACGACCTACAATTCTTGAAGAAGATGAGGAAGAGAGGGATTTGGAGCAAGAGCAACACTCAAGTATGCCCCATGCGTAGGAGGATTCAGACTACGTTGAGGATGATGATGATGTGAGAAATGATGATCAAGATCCAGCCAATGCTGACCAAGATGGAGACAACACCAATGCCACCATGGATGAGTTTGATGATGGTTGCTATTGATTGAGAATTGAGACTTGAGACTTGAGAGAGAGACATGAGAGTTGGAAAACCTTAAGCCCCTTTTGCTATGTTGGTGTTATTTGTTATGTGGACTTGTGTCATTTCTCATTTGAAATGCTTATGTAATATGTCACTGCAGAATGCAGATTGCACTCCTGCTTGTTATCTTGTTTAGTTGTTCTCCACTTTTGCTCACTGCCTCGCTTCTAGTTCTCACTTCTCAGTTTTTTTCATTATTTGTGCAATATGGACTATTAAGTGATACATTATTTAGTTTTAACATATTTGTTCATGTTGATGCAAATTACTGTTGGGGAGAAGAGAAAGGGCAAAGAGGATGGATGCTAATGGGCTCTACAACCAGCAGCAACTGCAAGGTGTGTATGCCAGTATGCCTAGTTGCCTACCAACCAAATTCTAATCTATTCTGCTGCTTAGAACTCTCTAAGGCG